CGTTCGATCTAAAGGATTACAAGTAAGTTTTTCTAAGTTTGAAGTTAGATTTACCGTTCGTTTCTCTTCTTCTTCTTCTTATAGATGTTCATGATGTTCTTAGGAAAACCTCCGTTCTAGAGTTAAACCTTCGGTTAAATCCTTGTAAAAGCTCTGTTTTGAGGTAAGGGGGGCTCTACTTTATCATTTTGTTATGTTTATTACTTGTATTCTCATAGATCTTGTCATGTATGTGATTATATGTAGAATAATCCCTGTTTTATGAGAAATAATCGGTGAAAAGTGAGAATAATTAGCTGTTTATGTGATTTTATGATGAGTACATGGTGAAATTGTGATATTATGTTCAAATAGGGCATGATAAGGTATATTGAGGATGGTTGATATGATTTTATGATTTTGTGATAAAAAATATACGAAGAGATGGATGTTTCATGTTTGAATATATTGTGTTTTATGTAAAAATGATGTGTATTGTGAATGTGCCATGGTTTGATGTATATGATGAAAAGTATGTGGAAATATAATGAAAAATATGTGTAAACATGATAAATGGCATATGTGAACATGTGAATATGCTCAAAAAAGTATGAGATGGAAAAAGATATGATGTAAATAGTTACAGAGATACACTGGGGAAGTGGAAGATGGAGACGATATGGGATATCTTGGGGAAATGCAGGGTGGTGAGTGACATTCGGGATTGTGCACGCAATATTGTGTTCGAATGCACCACATGGCCACACACTCATTTCTCGACTTGACTCCTGACCATTACCTTTGCTAAGGGGCCGTCTATTGCATGCGTTGTATCCGTATTGCATTGGGCCATCCGGCGACTATTTACATGAATGTGTAAGACCTCGAGATAGAGGCATCGGATAACTGTGGCCACAGGGAAAGTAAAAGAAATTGTGAATCTGTGTAAAGTAATGCGCGTTGAGATGAGAATATGCTTTATATAACCTTGTGATATGTAATGCCATGATGTTTTCTTTAATCGTGATAAGATGTGTTTTGTGAAGAATGTATATGTTATGTATGAGTGGTAGGGTAGAGACTCACCCTTACATAACATTTTTCAGGAAACCAGGTTAAATAGTACCAGGCTCACAGTGCATGGATGGATGAGAACTGCTATAGGACTTAGTTATTTTGAGTTATGTAATGAATATTTTCAGTTCTATAGCGTTCTTTTGAAACAGTTGTAAAACTACTATTTCTTTTTATTGCTGATGAAAATTCTAGAATCTTTATTTTTCTAAAGTACTTATGAATTAATGAAATTTTACTCTATGAACCTTATGTCATTTCCATGTCTGTTTCTATTTAGAGAGTTTTTGAAAGAAAAATTTACTCTACTATTTAACTTTTATGAAAATTTATTATATATTGAGAAAAGAAATATAAGGCGTTACATAATGTATGCTCAGACATGCACTCGGCTTGATATCAGTTTTGCTATTGGAATGTTAGGCCGATATCAAAGTAATCTTGGAATGGACCACTGGAAGGCTGCAAAGTAAGTCCTTAGGTATTTACAAGGCACCAAGGACTACATGCTTACTTATAGGAGATCTAGTCACTTAGAAGTGGTTGGCTACTCAAATTCAGACTATGCTGGATGTGTAGACTCAAGGAAATTGACCTTTGGCTACATCTTCTTGTTGGCTGGAGGTGTGATTTTATAGAAGAGCGGAAAGGAGTCCATTATTGCTACGTCTACCATGGAAGCAGAATTTGTGGCGTGCATTGAGGCCACTATTCATGCTTTGTGGTTATAGAACTTTGTCTTAGGGCTTGGTGTTGTTGATAATATAGAAAAGCTGTTAAGAATGTACTGTGATAATTATGCAGCCGTCTTCTTCTCTAAGAATAATAAGTATTCAAAGGGAGCAAAACACATAGACTTAAAATACTTATCAGTGAAAGAAGAAGTGCGGAAACAGAAAGTGTATATTGAGCATATTGGTATGATTTAATGATAGCGGATCCGTTAACTAAGGGATTGCCCCCTAAAATGTTTTTTGGCCATGTTGGTAGAATGGACATTATAGACAAGTCCTTGTTAGCATTATTGTGTGATTCACATATATGTGTATAGATTGTTTTACTCATATTATTGCAGACATTTTTGAAAATTCAATAAAAGTATTGTTTTTGCTTGTTTACTTGTTATCTGAATTGTGTTAATGTACATGTATGGTTTGAGTTTGATAATAGGTTGAGTGTTAAAAACACATCAAAGTTATAGTCTGTAGTATGACTGATTAAAGCTATTTTGATTTGAGTTGATTTTGTGATACTTGAAAGGAATCATGTCGTTAAATGACTTGTGACCGTCATGATCTGATCAACTTAAATCATTAAAAGATGATAACTTGATATTATCAATGATATGTACACTTACAGTTCATTGAATCTTCAAGTCGTCACATAGGCCAAGTGGGACATTGTTAGATTATTTTAATAATCTTATTATTGTGGCCTATGTAACTTATAACATGACTCTAATTAATGATTTAATGTGATGGTGGTTAAATATAAAATATAGAGTCATAGAGGGGTATAATTGTAAATACAATTATAAGGAAACATTCCCCTTTCTTTTCATCTAAATAAAAGAGTGGTTACCAAATAGGGGTTACGACATTCTTTATTTCTATCATTTTCACAGTCTCTAAGTGTGCTCACGGTAAACGCAAGAGAGTAACTTTCTCTCAACCATCCAAAAGGAGCTAAAAGAGGAAGGAAGAGTTGGGGAAGATACAAAGGGATCAACAACATCAAAGAGAGAGGTAACATAAAGGAACAATGGATTCAGGTTAGTACTCTTTAAACCCTTAATTGTATGAGAACCATGTATTATGTGGTGAGAACAATGTAATTCAAGATCTAATGGAAAATGATAATTCATAATATTCATTGCATAGTAGAAATTACATGATGGATTAAGAAAATTCTAACAAGAATACACTTGATGGGAGGTAACGAAACTGGTCCATAATCTTTGGGTATATAAATTAAGTGAATTTTGAATTTTTGAAACAAGGATATTGAGTGAAACTTAGATAAAATGGTTAGGTTCATGATGATGAATCTTTAAAAGGAGATTATGAACTTGATTAAGTGCACAATTTTGGATCTTTGAAATGAAAGTTATGGATTTACAAAGGAAAATACGCATAATGTACAAAGATGAAAAATAAACATAAATAAAATAGTTGAATAATGTTAGGTACAAACATGAGCTAAATAGTGATTGGTTGAGTTAGTGACCAATGGGATAATATAATACTTAAGTTCTAGCAAGAGATAAGATTTAGTTAACCTGTGTCCTAATCAAGAAAATATGCTGGTAAATTATCTTGACCAACAATAGAGCATACCATGATTGGTTGGAGTGAGTACCACTGGAAGTGACCCTTCAACTTAATGAATAATATGCACTGCAAATTGTGGTCTTAAGGAGATCGATGTATCATGTGACATTATTTGGATTGTTGGCACATAACTCTAATCGTTCAATCATGAAAACATAATTAATAATGAATAATTAGTTACTCCATAGAGAAAATTTGTAAAATAAAAACACTTAAGACTATTAGGTCATGGTATTATGATTAGAAAGTGTGTTTTCTTTATTTATTAGCGTTGTATATTTTCTTATGAAATAATTTATAAGTTGTATATTCTCACCCTTCTCATTTTCTTGTGTTCTTTATATTTTTATGAAAAGATGATGCATTTTGGTGGTCATATGCATCACTGAGTGTTTATATTTAGAGCTGGACAATGAGATTTCAATATTGTGAATCAAACAATCATCTTTATCAGAGACAATATTTATATTATTAGTTACATTATTAATCCTTTAGTAACCTTCGTAATTGTCTTTAATGTATTTAGGGTTGAAATTCTATTTTCTATGAGTTGTGCACTACACTATCTGGTATCTAGATAGACCCTCTTTTATATATATATATATATATATATATATATATATATATATATATATATATAATAATTTGCTAGTAATAGTAATATCTAGGCCTTTAGTATATTTACCTTTTATGTATTATATTTGAATAATAGGGAGAAAAATAGTTGGCATTGTATTATATGGTTCTAAGTACCTTGTAGCACTAACTTATTTTTATGTAATATATGTCATGATTAGTTATTAGTTGGTGTTTATTACAGAAAAATTAACTATAATGAGGTTGTTTGAGAAAAAAATGTTTCAAAATTATTCAGAGGAGAAAAAGTAGAACGTTACCAAATTTGTCATAATGTTAATAAAGGTGAGAATTTAAAGTTTTTCATCAATTATATTTTTGTATAAAAGTATTTTATTCTTAAGTACCAATTTTATAATTAAAATTAAATTTTTTAAAAATTAGAGTGTGAACCTTTAAGTTAATTTATTAAAATTTTTAAATTTATTATAATAAAAATATAATTAATTTGATTAAGTTGTATGATAAAAAATTAGTAAAAAAAATAATTAAATTGAAAGATAGTCTCTTTAGCTATAAAAAATTTAGATTTTTTTAATATAACAACAAAGAGAGATAAATTTAATTTCAATCTGTGTAATTGAAACTATGAAAAAAATTATAATTTATTTTATCATTAGATTGAAATTAATGTAAGTTTTATCTTGATATGAATCTTACATGTAATTTATTAAATTTTACTTTTAGTATTTGTTACGACATTCTAAACTTATACTTTATTTAAATTATGATTTTATTTTTTTAATATTTTAAAAATTAAAAGAGATTTAAAATTTTCTAAATTAACTAATAACTTTGTTATTCATTAATATAAAATAAATAATGAAAGTTGTTCAGAGAATTTCATAGAAATTAATTGTTATTTTTTTTAATTTTAGGCCGTAGAGCTGGCACGTGCGCAGTTCAAAACCGAAAAAATGCGCCGGGCACGGGCACTTTGAATCGAAAATCCCACTCTCTACAGCACTGTCTACTCCCCATAACGGACTATGGAAATGACGGAGGAACAGCGAAAACGAGCGGAAGCAAACCGTGCAGCGGCCATCGCAAAACGAAAGTTATTCCTCGAATCGCAAAAAAGCAACAACAACCCATGGCAGCTTTTCAGGTGCCAGAAATTATCCCAACACCAACCCCTCTCTGAACCACACAAGTTCCTCGCAAGACTCGAAATATGCTCCCCTGATTCCTTCTCCATCACTCCTCTCCCCCTCCCAGCCTTCCCCTTCCCCGGTCACCGCCATTGCCTCACCGCACTTAACTCCATTCTCTCTCACCTCATGCCCTCTCATTTCACGCAAACAAGCGAGGGTCTCAAGGCCTCTGTGTACAAGCTCCACCACTACTGTGCGGTGCTCAAGCACTTGAAAGGTGCGGTGGAGACACTGCAAGTCGAGGAGATTCCGTGGGCCACGTTCAACGTCGTCGAGCGTCTCTCCCATTCCTTTGCGGCGGGGATGTGGACGCCGCTGCGCCCCGAACATTTGACCGATGAAGAGGTGGATCGGTTGATCGCCAAGCTGCCGAGGTCTCTCTTGCACGTGTTGCTCCCTTTTCAGCTCGATGGCTTGAGGTTTGCCTTGCGAAGAGGCGCGCGCTGCCTCATTGCCGATGACATGGGACTCGGGAAAACCCTTCAGGTGCTGCCCCTGCTTTGCTTTGTTATGGGATGACTCATTCCTTGAACTGCGTGTTGTTTGTTTGTCTTTTTTGTCAGGCTATTGCTATTGCAGGATGTTTCTTGGATGAAGGGTCTGTACTTGTTGTTTGCCCTGCTGTGTTGCGCTTCTCATGGGCCGAGGAATTGGAGCGTTGGCTTCCTTTCTGCTTGCCTGCTGATATTCATCTCGGTAATGTTTTTGCGTTTTCTGCTTTGGTCGTGGTTTATATGTATGATGCAGTGTTTTGTGCTACTTGTTAATGCTTAATGGTGGGAGTAGTGAGAACTGAAAAGTAAATGTGTTGCTCTTGAGAAGAATGATCAATGTTTGTGATAATGGTACAGGCATGCATTCGAAGATTATGTTATTGAAAGTGTGGTTATTGAATCTTTTCTTAGAATTCAGAGATATATCATAAATTTCTTCTGAACTAGTAGTAGGAGTTTGTTGGGCGTTTACTAGATTGCTATTATCTTTTCTTGTTTCTGTTTATTAGACAGGGTTCCTTTATCTAGATGTACCAAACCCTTTTATTTAATAAATAGCTTGGCCATCCATCTGTAAGCTTCTACATGGTATCAGTAGACTCAGTGGCTCACACCCCAAAGAGTATAACCACCACTTCCTCCTCCACCACCAGTACTGCACTACCACTAACCTCTCCCTACTCTTATCCCTCAACTCTCAATATCATCAACTTTTTGGCTCTGGACCTTAATCCAATTACCTGTCATGGAGAGAACAAATGTGGAACTTGATTGAGAGTCAAGATCTGAGTGGATTCATCGATGGAAAATTCTAGCCCCTATACGAAGAATCTCTTTCCCTAATGCATAGGGTATTCAGCTTTATAAACTAAATCCTAAGTTCATCCATTGGTGACATTTCAATTCCATGCACGGATTGTGAGTTGACTCATTGAGGAGGCTGATTCTCATCATCAACCTAGAGACCTTATGCTATGAGTCTTGTTAGGTGTGCAGTGGAAAATCCATGAGGTCAAAACCAGGTTGATTGCATTGGGAAATCCGTGGGCTAAACTGAATATACAGCAGACTAAACTGAACTCATTGAACAGCTTCCCCATGCTGATAACTTAATCAGTGTGGCCTAGCTATCATGTGAGCAATTAATGATGAAAATGCTGTAGTGAGACCCTGTACGAATTTTTTTTCAGATATATTATCATTTTATTTTTCATAATCTATTTAATTTAAGATTGTTAAGATATGTCTCATTGACTAGGAGTACTATTTGGATACTCCTTACATGACTCGGGCAATCATCCTCAGCCCTTGAACTAACTCTTAGTTAGGCTTGATCTGTTTCTAATATGATATCAGACTCTATTCAATCTTACTGTTGAGTTATTCACAAATGTTAACTCTTGCAAACTTCACTGTTGTCTAGTTCTGGGTGTGAAGAGAGTGTGTTAAGATATGTCCCATATTAACTTAAAACATGGTTAAAATGCTCCTTATAAGACTTAGTTTGACCTGATCCATTTCTAATCAAGTTTATCTTTCTTCTAACGTAGAACTTCACATTGAGTCTAAAATCTATGCTATGTTGGATTACTGTTCTACAGTATAAACAATGCAACAAATCAAATAAGCATGTACCCAAATGAAAAATTGAATATAGTACTTTTCTATTTTGATTTTTCATCTAAAGTAATTTTGTTGACTGAATTCAATTGCAATAATTTGAAATTTTAGATATTACTTTCCCTTTTGGTTCTGTGGTATTTATTCATGTCGTTGTTGCCAAAGCTTTACTTTCTTTTGCTAGCTGGTTGACATGCACTTGTTAATTTAAATCCAGTTTTTGGCCATCAAGACAACCCTATATATTTAACAAGAAGCCCCAGAGTTGTGGTTATTTCTTATACCATGCTTCATCGTCTAAGGAAGAACATGCTTGAACGTGAATGGGCTCTCCTGATTGTAGACGAATCTCATCATGTGCGATGTACGAAGAAAACCTCAGAACCAGGAGAGGTATGCTCTGTTTCCATCTCATTTCTGTGCAATGTACAAAGAAAAGTACAGCAAAGAAGTTTGCATTATGAATAGATGCAGATTTCCTTTATGTTCATCAAAATTGACACATCATATATGTGACACTTGTTGATAGAGAAAAGGATCATAAAGTCAGAAGTGAGAACCATTATTTTTTGTATGTGTGAATGGGCATTGTATATAATTATGCATTGGAAGGATCTAGGGGCATTGGTCCCCCTTCCTTAAAACTTCTTAGACACACATACATTTGCTTTTAAAATTATTATATAAAAATATGTAATCTTATAATTTATTCAAATAATTATGTGCTAGAAAATTGAAAATAGGGAAATTTTGTAAATAGTATATATTATGTGATCTTTTGTAATTACAGTAATTAGGGTAATGATTATTCTTTGCAATTGTGACACTCATTATAAATAAGACACTTTGGTGTGTGAATAAGATACACCGATTCATCTTCTGTCTTTTATTACTCTTTTCTCTCGATATGATATCTAGAGCCTAACAAGTGGAATGTTAATATGTGACTGCCCAGGACCCATTGTCAATGCTGCAATTTTAGCTCAAAATTCGTGCTCCTTATTTGGTTTTTGGTCCCATACACTTTTTCAAGCTGTGCTCTGCCTTTTTTTTTTTTTTTTGTCTCCACCATTATTCACAACCAAACGACCACTTTTTTAGATTTTGGGATCAAAAGCAACATCACAAGATTGACCAACCCTCAGGTTTTGCAGAGAACAAAGTACCCATGTGCAGCATATGCTGCTTTTTGATTTGTGTTTTGTTTCTCCTTTGTGCATCATCGTTGAATAGGGTTGGTGATTGACTCAACCTCCCCCACCTATATTTGTCCTCGTTTTCTTTTTTTGGGTTGTGTCACATTATTTTTGGTCTTATCAAGACTGTTTGATACTATTTGCCATTGTTTCTCTCTCCTCTTTGCTTTTTAAAGGTATGTGTTTGACTCATAATCCTGTTCATCTCCTTTATATTACACTTGTCTTTCTTCTTTGTCATCTGTGTCTATTCCTTAGCTTACAGGTGATGTCATAGCTCACTCTAGTTGGAGCAAGGCCATGATTGATAGGATGTGTGCACTTCAAAATAGTGATACTTAGGACTTAGTTCTCTCCTATTGGAAAAACCTGCTGTTGGTTGCAAGTAGATTTATATAGTGAAGGTGGCTTCATGGTTAAAATGTCTTCTATTCGATTACTTTTATTCATAGATGCCATTTGACAATGACCTCTATTTTAGTTTGATATTAAGAATGTTTTTGTCCATGGTGATATCAAAGAAGTTTATATGAAGCAACCTTCAATATTTGTTGTTTAAAGGAAGTCTTTAGGACTAGTTTCTTATCTTTGTGAATCCTTATCTGGCCTTAAATAATCCCTAGGATTTGATTTGGCAAATTCAACATTGTGGCTTAGTAATTTGGCATGACATAGAATGAAACAAATTACTCTTTTTTATCCTTATTCTACTATATTGCGCATTTACTTAATTGTGAATGTGGACGATATTATTATCACTAGCATTGATCATCATGGCATCACTTAGGTAAAGCAACATCTCTTTCGTCATTTTCAAACAAAAAAATTTGGTAGACTTTGATACTTCTTAGGAATTGTGGTACTTCAATCTAAAAGTGGCATTGTGGTTTCTTAGAGTAAGTATACTATGGACGTTTTAGCTGAAATATGACTAATGAATGCTAAGCTTAGTGATGCTCCTATAGATCCAAATGTTAAACACCTAGATTATGGGGGCCACTTTCAAACCTAGAGAAGTGTTGAGAATAATTGTAAATAAATAAGAAATATTTATCTATTACTTAGTGTTATTTGTGATAAATATGTAACAACATATTTTTGTATTTATTACCAAGTCATTATAAATAAAGTCTTGTGTATCAAATACACACGGATTTCTCTCAATGTCTCTCGATTTCTTCTTTTTCAACATGGTATTGGAGCCTTACGAGAGACACTTTTTGTGATTACTCAGTGGGCTCACTGCACATTGGTGCATTTTTTTTTTTTTTAAACACCTTGTTTCAGCTACGGTTTCTGGTGTTCTTCGCTCTTTTTCTGACCGTGTTTTCAACTTCTGGCTGTGTTCTTCCTTTCTTTGAGTCTCATTACTGTTCACCACCAGCTGCTATTTTTATCATGTCACCAATCTTGGGATTAGATTTGTCTCCCCAAGATTGGTCTAACCCTAAAATTTGGGGACCCAATAAATTGGTTCAGGCATGCACTCACACAAGTCTCTTTTGCATGCTCTTTTCTCTTTCCTCACCACGCCCTCAGCTGTGTGGCGGCATGTGAGAGCCTATTTTTGGCCGCTGTTGGTTTTCTAGACATGAAGTAACCTCATAGTTTTGTTGCTTGGAAGGTGTTCTGGATGTGTTTGTTGTTTATAGAAAATTTTGTATGGTTTGACAATTTTCCATGTCTAATTTGGTAGATTTAGCATGACCAATCAGCAGTTTGGCATATTCCGAAGTGAAGCGTATTATTTTGTTTTCTATCATCATTCTTCTGTTGGAAGTATTTATTCGGTTGTCTACGTCAATGATATCATTATTACTAATAGTAATTATCATTGTATTACATAGGTTAAACAACAGTTTTGTCTGTATTACTATTTCTAGACATGAGACCTTGGCAGACTCAAATATTTCGTGAGAATTGAAGTGACACAATCTAAACATGATGTTATTATCTTTTAGAAGAAATATGCAATGAATTATCTTGAAAGAGACAAAATTGATGAATGCAAAGTCTGTTGATACTCCTATAGATTCAAATACTAAGCTTATACTGAATCAAGAGGAGCCTTTTGAAGATCCAGAAAGATACAAATGATTGATTTGAAAAATAAATCACTTCATTGTCACTTAGTTTGGTATCTCATTTGCAGTGAGTGTAGTAAGTTAGCTTCTTTACTTTTTATGTAAGAAAAATTGAGACATAATTGTTCATCTTAAGAAACTTACATCTAACTCATTCCCAAAAGATAACTCATAGGAGAAGTATTTTTGACTTTATTTCTAATCAACATGAGACATCTTAACATACATCCTTTATGCCTAGGGCTAGACATTTGGTGTGTGTAGTTTGCAAGATTAGACATCTGTGGGTGGTCCAACAAGACTAGACATCTATGGACTGCTCAACATTCAAAATGAATAGGCTCTGATACCATATTAAAAAATTTGGGTCTAATTCGCTTTCAAACATGGTTGTTAAGATTGCGATTTTACACATTAGATCATACGATTTTACAATATTCTCATGCCTTAGCGATTCCGATCACACTCTTTGACTTGTTTTGTTAGGATCGGTAGGATTGTAAGATCTTACTTGTAAGATTGTTGGATTGAATGATTTTTCCGATCCTGCTCGAACTCATTTATTTTGAAAAAAACTAACAAATCTGACCCTTTTTTAATTGGCATATTAGATTAAAGACTTCAACTCATTCATTTTGACATTTTTCTTAACCTTTTTTTTGCTATTATGCACACAAAAGTTCTAAACCCCTTCTTGGTTTTTCTACTTCTGGGTTTGGCCCTATACACCACAGTTCTTTCGCTTTTGGGTTGAACTCTTGGTTCATTTTCTTGTGGCTTCAAACTACTCCTTGCTTTGGTTCTGTTGCTACCTGGATTCAAGTTTTTGATCTTTGTTAGGTTACACTCTTTTAATTTGTTTAGTTATATACAAAAGTCTTTTAATATGGAAAGGAGTTGCTGGGGAGGGTAATGAGAGTTCAGGTGCTGCTAGAGTTGGAAGCAGCTAGGATGATGCTGCTGGTGGGGTTCTGAATTTGGAATTGTTGTGACTTTTAAGTTTGTGGCTATTAGTAATTTACGGTTATTTTGTCTTATTTTTATTAATTTTTATGCATATATATGAATTCAAAATCATTTTGTATTTTAAGTATGATCTTATGATCTGTGTTACAATTACACGATTTACGTGTTTCCCTAACCTTTTTGATCCTAAGTATGATATTAATTTTGACTACTTTGCTTCCAAAAGCTAGCTTGTAGGAGAAAGACTAGTCAAGCCTTTATAAGAAATATTTTAACTCTATTCTTAGCTAATGTGAGATATCTTAACAATTCACAATGTGGAATACTTTAAGGAATCTCCAAACAAGAGTCTTCTATTTTAAGACAAAGGCCATATTCAAATTGTAGGATATTGTGATGCATATTTAGTAGGTTCTCCCATTGACAAAAGGTCCATTTCGGGATATATTGTTTTTATCAGAGATTATTTGGTTTCCTAGAAAAGCAAGAAAAAAATTGTGGTTGCAAGATCAAGTGCAGAAACTAAATAGCAGTCATGGCCTTAGCTACTTGTGAACGTATATGACTTAAACAATTGCTTCAAGAGTTAAAGTTTGGAAAGACTTTGAAGATGACATTTATCTATTATAATCAGATTGTCTTATACATTACTTCAAATCTAGTGTTTCACGAAAGAACCAAACATATTGAAGAAGATTGTCATTTTAGCACATAAAAGATTTTATCTAGATATATTGTCACAAGATTTGTTGACTCTATCGACCAACTTGCAAACGTTTTACTAAGTCTTTAAGGGAACCAAAAACTAATTATATGGGTAACAAGTTTATTTATGACAATCAGGTTGCCTTACACATTGCTTCAAAACCACAATTTTACAAGAGAACCAAACATATTGAAGTAGATTGTTATTTCATTAAAGAAAATTTTTTATCTAGAGATATTGTCACAAGATTTGTCAACTTTGATGACCGACTGGTGGACATTTTTATTAAGTCTTTTAAGGGAATCACAAATTAGTTATATATAACAAATTTGGTTCACATGATCTATATGCTCTAGCTTGAGGGAAGTGTTAAGAATAATTATAAATGAACAGAAAATATTTATTTATTGTTTAGATAATGTTATTTGTGGTAAATTTGTAATTATTACTTAGTCATTATAAATAAAGTCCTCTAGTGTGTATTAAACTCACAAATTTCTCTCAATGTCTCTCAATTCCTTCTCTTTCAACAAGAAGTATATGAGATTAATTAGAAAATTAGATTATCTTAGTGTCACTTGTCTAGATTTCCCTTTTACAATAAGTGTGTTTGGTTAATTTCTCAATTCACTTTGTGAATGACATTGGATGTAGTGATTTGAATTTTGAAGGATGTTAATAGTGCTCCAAGAATAGGTCTCGTGTATGAAGACAAAAGTCATGCAATAGTTATTGGATATTTTGATGCAAATTGGGCAGGTTCTCCTTTTGACAGGAGATATACTTCTGGACACCGCATCTTCATTGGTGATAACTTGATATTTTGGAAATGTAAGAAGCAAAATGTTGTTGCAAGGTCAAATGTGGAAGCAAAATATCGAGTCATGGCTTTTTCTACCTATAAACACATCGAGATAAATTGTCATTTTATTAGGGAGAAGATACCATCATTCTCACTTGCTTTGTAAACTCTAATGGTCTACTTGTAGACTTTTTACCAAGTTCTTGAGAGGTTCTTGATAATATTTTAAATAGAAAATTGAATAAGATACACCGATTCATCATGTTTGTCTTCTTACTCTTTTCTCCCAACATTATGCATGTTAAAAATTTTGTCTATTTTTGCTCCTTTCATGTTTTCTGGACCTGTCCCTGTGTATTCATTTTTGTAAAGTTACCTTTGTGTGCATAAGTGATTGGGTGGAAACTACTGCTGTGGTACTCCAAGATAGAAGCTTCCTGCAAATGATGATATCATAATTGTTGTAGCTACAATTACTAGCATGGTTATCTGTTTTTTGTGCCCATTGTGAATGGGCATCTACAATTTTTTAACATGAGTATATACAGAAGCAGGGCTAGTTCATAATTGTTTGCTAGGAATGAGAGCCACTCAGGATTAAAGATCTCTTTAGATACTGACATTAGTTGTTAAACTTATTAAGAGTTTCAAATGGAGGAAAGAAATTTAGATTAGTGGGATCAGAAGATCTTGTGGTGGTCCGGGAATGAAATAACTCTATTCTATGCTCAGAAATCAGAAGGCAGATTCATATTCAAGTATATTTTCTTTTTGAAGAACTGCAGCAACTGCTTTAAGAAGGCAGATTCATGTTCTTAATTCATGCCTTGTAATTTAATGTGTTTTGGTATGTGGTGGGAAGTGTCTAAAGTGCATCTACAATAGAGAAGTTACTCTTTATTGTGTTGGATTTGATGTGCATCCAATTAATATAAACATAAACGGTAAATCCAAACATGCGTTTAATGAATTATCCTTTATCTCCATATCTTTTATTTGGCTAAAGCCTGACAGGTGTTTTTATATTTTTTTATCATATCTTTTGCTTTAACAGATAAAGGCTGTTCTTGATGTGGCTTCAAGAGTCAAGCGTATAATCCTGCTATCAGGCACACCTTTGTCAAGGTTGTAGCATTGATCACAGTTCACAGCAAGCCAGCTGCATACTTTAATCTTAATAGTTACCTGTGGAATGCAAATGAAAAATCTTATTTTAATATTTTTTGGTTGTGGCTCCATATTTCTTAACTTTCTATTCTTTGTTGTAATTTTTGTTTTCTATTCATTTTTTGTTATTTTATCACTTAAAATTTTCTTATATCTTATGCTGCATTTCTTCCTAGGTGCTCATAGACCGTACGACATATATAATCAGATAAATATGCTATGGCAAGTATATTAACATTGAGCATTTTCCATATTTAAACTTCTATTCTACATTTCTACTAAGCTGGTTAATGTGGTTTTCTGCAAAATACTTTTATTTTACAGGCCTGGTTTGCTGGGAAAGACTAAATATGAGTTTGCAAAAACATATTGTGATTTCAAATATATCAAAGGCGTACAAGGAAAATATTTTGCGGTAATCCTGTTAGAAAAGCATTTCATAGCTCATATCCTCTCTGCATATGTAATGCATTTCATAGTTGTATTTGTGTGTATATTTAGTTTATCACTATGAGTATCTTCTAGCTGCTAAGTTATTATTTCTCAAATAAAGAGCATTACTCTTTGTATGATTTCTTCAGGATAATGACAAATGTTATTCCCATACCTTGGTATGAGAATATAATGGATGAGATATGGTTATGGTTGGCTAATGAAAGTTGTTCAGGATGATGACAAATGTTTTGTATTTTAGAAATAAAAAGGGACTAATTCAAAAGTCTTAGATTTTTTAGATTCTGTGATTGAATCATTCAATTAGTTCTTTTCTCTTTTGGCCTGGCAGGTATTTTTAATAACCATCTTTGACATAAAAACTATCATCTTTTTAGTCTGTATTTACTTGTGATGACGGAAAAGTTATGAAATTTATATCTTTGGATTGACATTTCTTTTTGGGTTGTAATTAGTTGTTAAAAAGGGAAGTTGACACACATGATGGGATTGTGCTGCAGGATTATTCAAGGGGCATTCGCTTGGAAGAGTTGAACGTGTTACTAAAGCAAACTGTTATGGTGGGATCTCAGTACCCATGTTAATCATCTGATTAGTACTTCAACTTTTCAGTTTTTTTTTTCTTGGATTATTGTCTTCGGTTACTTTTCTAGGAGCATTCTTCTGTTATGACATAAGCTCTGTAAATGGCTAGCCTGGCATGTTGAAGCTCCCTGAAAATTGTGCAGCCAAATTAGATTTTTTGATGAATGTGATTTACTGATTTATTTATTTAAATTTACCATACCCCACCTAGTGAGATATGACTTGATTATTGTTTTAGTTCTGATGAAATGGTTATTGCTCATAGGTTTATATCCTTTTTTGACAGAAATATTATTATTTTTAAAACAATGCATAGGTATTTTATACCAACTTCTAGTTAATTTGAAAACAATGCATAGGTATTATTTCAAGGATGATTTAGTTCCAGACTTCCAGTGATTTTGATTTTAAATATCCATTTGGTTGACTGACTGTGACCTTTCACGTTTTAATACTTAATATCAGTGTTTATTTTAGTATGTCTCTTTGATTGAATATTACGGTGCTTTATGATATTTCTCCCTGATTGTAAATAATATTGTCTTATTATGTCTTTCATGTAATTTAGATAAGGCGTCTGAAGGAGCATGTGTTGCTACAGTTACCTCAGAAACGCCGGCAAATTATACGACTGTTGTTGAAGAGATCAGATATAGTTGCTGCAAAAACCGTGGTTGGGGTATTGAATATTGATGCCTGTGAAAGGGCAAGTGAAGACATGCCTTTGGAAAACTTGGATGAACCTGATGGTATTGTTAAGGAATCTTTGACACTACTGCTGTGAGATGTTGGATTTGTGTGCCAACTAATGTATCACATGATAGCTTTCTTTATAAAAAAATTCCAGAGAAAGAAGGCTCAAAAGCTTTTGAAATTATTACTGCATCACAATGAAGCTTGGATTTGATTGCTTTTCATATGAATAATAATATTTCTTTTTCTGTGTATACAGTTATATAAAGAAAAGTGGATACACTATGGCTGTGATAGTCTTTTTGCCGCCAAACAACTATTGCATTGCATGAATTATATTTTATCCAAACTGGAAGATTATTACAGAAGTTTCTCTGCTCACCTCTCATATCATAACTTTTGTCAGGAAAGCTTTCTTATCAAGAACTTGGAATTGCAAAGCTTTCTGGGTTTCGTGAATGGCTTTCTCTCCATCCACTCATTGCAGGATCAGAGAATGCTTCAAAAATGATAATTTTTGCACATCACCTCAAAGTTCTTGATGGAATACAGGTTTGGAAGCTATTGTTTACTGAAAATCCCTTTGGTGTGATGTAAAATAGTGGAGTGACTGCAGTAACTCACTGTTCTCCGTTTGAATTTTCTCCTTTGCTTTGGTCTGGTTACCACCATATGTAAAATTTAGTAAATCATGCTCCTGGCTTATCTTCATGAAGTAACTCAGAAGTACTGTTTTCTTTTAAATTTGCTTTCGTAGCTTTTGACCCTGTTTAGTGATTGGAGCGTGTCCTCTTGATGTCTTTTCCTTCTATTTGAATTGGCCATCAGCATGCTCTATGTTTACTTTGGCCTCTGGTGATTTGATGACTGTGTTGTCCCACAAACATTTATATCTAATTTCTGATACAAGGTTTATCTTTCTGAACCATTCAGGAGTTTATATGTGAGAAAGGGATAGGTTTTGTGCGAATTGATGGAAACACTCTTGCCAGAGATAGGCAATCAGCAGTAGTCTCATTTCAATCATCACCAGAGGTATAAACCTTTGCATTTTTCTCCTCAATTTATTATGATGATTTTCTGGTCTCTTTCTTTTGTTTCCCCCTATTTACAATCTTTTTCTATTTCTATTAGTTTGTTTTTATCTGTGTCATTCAATCAAATTTGGACTATTTTTACTTTTTATTTAGGTTTACACTGACTTGTTACATTTTTCTGTCAGGTTAAAGTTGCGATAATAGGTATTCTAGCAGCAGGTTTTGGACTTGATTTCTCAATGGCACAAGATGTTGTGTTCTTGGAGCTACCAAAGTGCCCAACTGTTATGCTTCAGGTTCTGTTTGATGGAATATCACTTTTATAAATTTGGATTTTGTAACTGCTTAGTTTGTAAAATAAATATCATTTGCCCATGACTTTTATTTTCTCTTGTGGCAATTGATTATGAAATGTGCAAATCTAATATCAGAGTATATCACAATAACTGCAAAAGATTCTGCAGGAAGTTTGCATATTCCTGATAGCAGATAACTGATAAGTGTTGCAAAAGCAATAAAGTAGTATTATTGAATGACAACAGTACTGTGAGGAGTATGGACATATATAAAGATGACTTTCTTTAAAGAAACAAAAAGAATGGGCACTTAGGTGCATCTGTATAAGATAATTGATAATATTTTACTGCAAAATTGGAACAGGGGTGGATTTGTTGAAAATAATGCATGGGGCTCATTAAGCCAATAGATGGAACTAATTTTCATCTTTCTTCTGACAATAGTCATGCCTAGTGTTACACTTGATGCAGTCTTTTTTCCACAAAACTGTTGGAGAGGTTATAACTATCACCGCTCAGATTGCACATGTGAAATTTTTTAAATTATGGCAATCACATATTTTGTTTGATTTATTCTAGTTGTGTATGATGGCTCCATCATATGATGAAGTGTATGATGTGGGGGTTTCCTGATGTTATATCTTATGTAAGTAATGTTAATGTGTTTTGTAGGCTGAGGATAGAGCTCATCGACGGGGGCAAACAAATGCAGTTAATGTATACATATTCTGTGCAAAGGTGATTAGGTTCTCATTCATTGTGAAAGTTTGGGTTAGTGCTTTTTGTGATATGCCTCTCACAAGTAGCATCTATTGGTATATTCCCATGTGCAGGATACCTTGGATGAATCACATTGGAAAAATTTGAACAAAAGTCTGCAACGAGTTTCATCTACAACTGATGGCAAATATAATGCAATGAAAGAGATAGAGGTATCATACTTCAGTTTCTTAATGCTTTTATTTGCTAGTCACTGTCAGTTGTTTTGGCAAAGTTTATTTTCATATTGAAAAGCACAAATATTTGCAAATTTTCTTTATACTAGTAGGTTATTTTAAATCTTAAATTAGCACATGATTTGATTTATGAATCTACCATTTATTTCAAATAACTGAACATTTAGGGTATGTTTAAGTTAATAGCTTAATTAAGCACTTATTCACTAAGCTCTTATCACATGACGGGTTATGGCATAAATTTGATCATGAAACTTATTGGAATAAGCTTAAAAGAGCTTATTTTGATTAGTTATACGAAGAAGTTTATTGAAATAAGCTAGAAAGAGCTTATGGGGGTCATAAGCTCTATATAAGCTCTTCCAAACTCCCCCTTTAAAATATTTGAGTACATATTTATTATACAATTTTTTAAGCATTTAGTTTGTCCTGAGTTGTAATGTCCTCATACCCGGTTACAATTTGTTTACATTCTATGCCCGATGAAATGTCAATGAATACCCTTTACAGCTTGTGCAATAAAGAAATGAATTTGTGACCTATGAGTTGCATATGAATTCCCTTTCCAAATTATGAGATGAACAAAATAGATTGGTGGTCTTCCCAAGAAATAACATTCTCTTAAGTTTAGTATTTAGTTACATTGAAATGATTTATTTCTCATCTGTTGTGAATGTAGTTCTCAGACCTGTTGGGATCTTTTATTTATTTATTTCAGTACTGCATAACTTTTCCTGTGAAATGTTATCTTAAGAGTTTTAGCTTCTGCTAAACTATTTACTACTAAGATACACTTCAGTTGCCATTATTATGAAACAAAAATGTTTGATATTTTGTGACATGTTAGAAGACTTTTCCTCCCTTGTATAACATCAACTTTCTTTTGGGGATATTGGGTGGCAGGTTAAAGGTATTTCTTATTTAAACTCATCTTTGAAAGCTGATAGTTGTGAAGCACAACCTGCATGCAAAGATGCATTGAGTGAAGCACAATTAGATAAGCAACCTTCTGCTGTAAATTCAAATGCATCCGAAGAAAATCAAGATGATAATTCTGATGAGGGTAATTTTGTAAATAAATCAATTCAGAGTGCTAATATTATGGTAAGGCTTGCAGTTTAAACTTTAAATATCATTGTCTCTGTTTATTGACTGTATCACTTGCTTCTTTTTAATTATTCTAATTTGTTGGTATAATAGGCTGATAATGCTGCCTGTGAAGATTTAGGCAAGGCTTCAGTTCTGGGTGGAACTTATGATGTAGATGTTTTTGATGCCAATGAGAGATGTTCCGAAAAGAGTTTTGAAGACAAAAATCAAGTAATAGTGGGGCTTTTTTTTTTTCTTTTCTGTGGCTTTCTAATGGAGTGAATGACTGAAGTTTATTCATTTCTGTGTGTGAGTGCCTAAGGGTTTTACTTTTCAGTTGCAGGATATGAAATCAATTTCAACAACACAAACAGATCACAACCAGCCTGTTCATCCGGTTGAAACTGACAGACAGTGTTCTAATCAAGTTGATTCTCTGCGATTTGAGGTAAAGTTATTGTTTTTGGAAATTGTTTACATTAGAATGAGTCAATTCATTGTACAAGAAAGTTGAGTCCAGTTAGTCATTGGCTCTTTGGTTATCACTTACATAATAGAAGCAAAGTTTGTGAAACAAATTTATGTTTATTTTGATTTCTAAAATTGCTGTTAATTATCAACCCTTTGTGACATTTCTGATGTTTTTGTTTTTTTGAAGCTTTTTTTTTTCTGAGCCCCGTGTCATCATGTGATTAATGTAGTCCTCACCTAGTGGGATAAAACTTTTTTGTTGTTGAAGCTTGTTTTAGAAAGAATATGGGAGCTTAAAATTTGTGGTTGTAGTGTGGGATTTATGCTTTTCTTTGGTATATTTTTAGTTAATGCAGAATGCACACATCTTTGAGTGTAGTAAAATTACATAGGGTTGTGTTTATGGCATCCCTTGGTGCTTTGCACAAAGGTTGGATTGTGCAGTTGATCATTCTTATGAATATAGGAAAACATTTGCTTGACCCTTCAGGTGAGCCCATACACTGGACGGATCCACTTGTATACTTGCATTCTGGGGACAGATAAAAGACCACAGCCACTTTATGAAAATTTTCGACCAGAGGAACTTGAGTTGTTAAGTTTTGTTGATGGAGAGAAACAGAAAGTAGAGTTTATATCTCTCAAGGATGACCCTGCCTATAGGCATGCACTTCTGGCTTTTGCAGAGGAGTGGAAGAATTTGAGGTCAATTGAACGCAGGAAGTTACTTGGAAAACCTTTACAACTTCCTTTGGCTGTTGAATTATGCTACTTGAGTGAAAGCAATAACCACAACAACAAAGTGAGTACATTGAGAAATTGAACTGTTTTAATGGATATGATTATTTTTCCTAATGTTTATCCATCCTTGCAACTACATTTTTTGCTTGTTTCGATGCACATATAATGTAACAGAAGTCTGTGATTGACAGGGATTATTAAATGGTGGAAGTCGAAGACGCATGACACCCTTGATGGAGATTAGCCATCCTTTACCATCAGATGCTGTTTGGAAGAAGGTTTATCTGCGAAGTGGCCTCGGTAAGAAGGAAAAAGAATACACTCAAGGCTGGAGTCTTACAGATGAGCCACTCTGTAAGCTTTGTCAAAAGCAATGCCTGTAAGTATTATACCAATCATTTATTACTTTTATTTTATATCAGTGTCCAATTAATAACTCTACATTCAGGGGTACCAATGCCAAGACACCTGAATTTTTTGAAGATCTTTTTTGTAATCTTGTCTGCTATGAAGAGTATCGTATGAGAACTAGTAACAGATTCGTCCGTCAGGTTAGAACATTGATCATATTCATTCAAATTAAAATGTGTTCAACCATTTTTGCTTTGGATGTTCTTCCTTAGGAACAGTATTGTGTAGCTCTGTCCTGTCTCTGAGCTAGGATTAAATGTACTTGAGTTGAGCTCTTCAGGAACTTTTCCAAATTGAACATGGTGTGTGCACAAATTGCCACTTGGACTGTCATAAGCTTGTTGAGCATATAAGACCTTTGTCATTGGAAAGGCGGCGGGAGTACATAGATAAAGTAGCACCACAAATTGCAAATCGAAAGAACATGTAAGTATATGAAAGTGAAACACCGAAGGTCAATTCTCTTATGATGTTAAGAAATTACATCATAAGCTTGTTAAAAGACTTGCTGTACTGAAGACTGTTAATAAACTTGCTTAATTCTAAAACAAGAGTCTTCTGAAACACTAGTTGACCATATGCAGGCTTGAGAAGCTTGTCAATGATCCGACTGAAGGCAATGCATGGCATGCTGATCATATTGTTCCAGTATATCAAGGCGGAGGTAGAATTTATTTTAAAGTCTAATCCTTCACGCTTTAGGAAGAGTTAAAATATCAATTTCTACTTTTAGGCTTGGCAACCTGTTTTTCCTAGAAATGATTATTCAATTGTGTTTCAGAGAATATTTTATTCTTAAAATTCTATTTGGTCACACATTTTTGGAAACAATCGAACTTTTAAATACTCTGGTACACTTTCAACTAAGGTTTTAATTAGCTCAATGGAATTGTCAATATAGAAATGTTGATGTTTGATGTTGCTATCAGGATGTGAAATAAGTCTCTAAATCGTTAGAGGACAGTATGTAACTAAAAATTCTTGATTAAATTAGTAGAAATTTTGTTATGGATAGCACTTTAGGCCCAAGCACATGTAAGGAAGGACCATGTCAGTTGATAGTTTATACTAGAAAGGGAACTGTATGATGAGAATAATGAGAAATTGTGTGAGGAAGTGGAGAAGGGAAACTCGGTTGGAATGAATCATGAGCAAGAACAAGAGAAACTTGAAGGAGGCTGTATGGGTGTCCATCCAGAATTGACAGAAATGCATCATATGCTTAATAAGATTGGGACTGAAAGTTGATCAGGAGCCTTTGTTCCTACAGCCATAACCAACAACACATTGGTTTTTATCTTGGCTCTTATACAGTCCACTGCCAGCCCGGCTCATGCTAATACATTGGGTTCTAATCAGAAAAATTGTGAGCAGAGGACCGAATGGGTCTATTGAGTGCCAACCCCAATCTGCCCACTCAACCAAATGGGGCTTCATCAGCATAATTCAGTATTTGGTACCTTTGATTATGTCTGGCTTTTTGTGGGTCCCATTAGGTGCCATTTGTTACTTGGTGTTTGATTGTTGAATGTTGGGTGACCTGATAATGTTTCTGTTGGGTAACTCCCCTCCCATTTGTAATTAGTTATGATGTGTTAGGGACTCATTAGTTGTTAATTAAAATAAGTTACTTACCCTTTAGTTGTTACATTAGTGAGTTAGGTAGGTGAGTTAGTTTGATTAAGGCATGTTGCCTATAAATAAGAGGGCAGATTAGAGAGGTATATCAGGTGATTTGTAAGAGGAAATTGGGGTCCTTTTGGCATTGGGAGATAGACCCTCGAAGTTCTGCAGTATGTGTCAGTGTTTTGTAATTGGGTTCAATCCTAATTGTTCTTAATAAGGTACCTAGTTCCTACCAGTTTGCTGTATGAATGGATTTGATTGTGGTGTCATTTTGTCATCACCATATTTTATTTCTATTGATACTAGAAATTAGAAAAGTCCTGAAATGGTGGTTGAATTGATCGAGATGTCATTTAATGTCCTTTGGAAAACTCTGATAGTCATTCAAGTATTTTATGATTTTCTTCCAACAGTAATTTTGGCTAATTATTATTGTGTTTCTTGTTTTTTCCTATGCTTTTTTTCATGTTGACATGTGTATCCATGTCTCTCCCTCCTTTGCTTGTCCCCCTCATATGCAGAAGTGTTAGATTTTAGCTCTGACTATTAAATTTTATACCTTATTTACGTCTAGATGTAGATACTTTTTTTGGTTTCTCTCCTAACTTCCTATACTTTGCAGAAAAATTAGATTTTAACCTAGTTTAATTCCATACCTTATTTAATTATTTAAATAGGTGAATGCAAGCTGGAGAATATGAGGACACTTTGTGTAGCATGCCATTATGATGTTACTGCCGCACAATGTGCTGAGCGGCGTATAACAAGAGCAAATGCCAGGAAACAACTAAAAGTGTTAATGAATAACATGAAAAATGGTATAAAGGGTATAGCTGGCACTAATATCAAGGTATGTTGTAAGCATGATTCCCTTTTTTGTTGATGCATAGGCATGCATTCCTGGTGGTATTTTGCCAGTATGTCTGAGGTGTGTATTCTGAGTTTATAAGTTAAAATGTGAGTTTAACAACCATGGTTTTGATAGTAGCCATTCAAATCTTTATGGTGCATTGCTTTGTAGGTATGTTTTGTTTTGGTTTTTGTATTTAGTAATAATTAAAAATATGCCAAATTGTTTTCACTTTGTTTCCTATTTTTTAATATTTGTGTAGAAAATGGTGAAACAGAAAAGTGAAAACAAAGTGCCAATTTTTGTAATTATTAGCGGAGACAAAAATATTTTATAGGTTATTTTGAATACTAGTTTATGTTGAAGTAATTTGAAGTAGATATTAAGGATGGTTTAATCTCCACCTGCTGGCCAAAATTGCGTAAACTCGCAAGTTTATTTACGTACACAAGAAAATCATTAACAAGATATCCCTTAAGATGTTAAAGATTCAACGTTGATGACTGCTATGAGCTTTTATTGACATCACTTAATGAATAAAATTCAGGACCATAGCCTTCCCGAGGAACAAGGAAGTGTACTTGAGGATGAGCTTTTAGTCAAGGTTCCTGGAAGTGCCTATTCCCTGGCTGACAGCCTGACAGCTAAGAAAGTGGAGATGCCGCCTGGAAGGGGTTGTAAATAATTTCCACCGTCAACCAAGTTTGTTTTGTTATAAAAGAAGAAAGCAATGTAAAGTTTTGTAGCCGCAGGGTGGGAAATTGCACTTAGTGCAGTTGATTTCCAACTATACTTTCGCAGTCACAATGGAAGAGGAAGATTAGTCCATGGCAAGGAAGGAGCGCTTTGTTTCCATCCTTATTTTATTGCTAAAAGTATTGTTCATTATTTGACTGCGCAGCCTACCGATTTGGTTCTGAGGAAATTCTTTTGAACAGGTTTTTGTGGCGTCATGTCTAGTTGAAAAGGAAGCAAAAGTCAACATGTATACTAGAAAAAATCCCTTAAGCCTAAGGTTAAGATGATCTTAGCAGTGTAGTGACACAATTTCGGATCATCCATTTGTAACACACCATCAATCATTGATTGCCCCAACCAATTATATTTTAGCCATTGTTTTGTATATTATGTAAAGGGTGATCTATGGCTTGATTTCACTACATGACCAACTCATTCTTTTTATCAGTTCTTGATTTCCCTTTATTAGAGTTTTCTTGAGATAATTTGGTGTGACTGTTATGTTTTTTTAACGTGTCACACTTGGTCTAACATGCATCACTGACTCTCATTAATTGAAATCTAAAAACCTTTTGCCACTCATTAATTGATATATGATGAAATAATAAACTAGAGTAAAATAGAGAGATAAAAGTGTAAATAATATGTTAGTGAACATATAATGAAAAATGTAGAGATGAGATGGGAAATATGGAAAAAGAAATGAAATGAGAAAGGAATACAATAAGGTCGAGTATGGATAGTTCAGAGGTATACTGGGGATGTGGAAGATGGAGACGATTGAGAAATTTTGGAGAAATAAGGATAGTAGATGCTCTTCTTGAATTGTGCAAAACAAATAAGAGTAAGAGCACTACAGGCCTCACACTCATTTCTTGACTAATACTCCTGATTATACTTTTGTTAAAAGGAGCTGGGTCGGCACACGTTGTATCCATGTAACTGCGGCTATCTAGCAACTATCTATACTAATGTAAACCTCGACTAATCCTACGGGCAGTGAAAGTGCGAAATAAAAACTCTGAGTATTAAGAGAGAGATGAAGAGTAATAAGTTGAATATTCAAAGATTGTTACATGCATATGAATATGATTTTGTAACATGATTGATTGTTGTATTACCTTTGTTTTACTGTGACTAATTATGAATGTATGCTTGGTAATATGAATAGAGACTCATCCTTACATAAATTTTTTAGGAAACTAAGATGACAACACTCAGAGAGAGAATTAGGCTTGTAGATAGTTCTATACATAATAGACTTAACTATGTATTTAACGAATATTAAAGGTTATGCTACTTTTGTAACACTTTAAATTTAATTTCAAATAAATAATAATTTCACAAATTTGGGATAATAAAAGTTTCATAATAGGGAAAAGGGTTACAAGTTTATATTAAATAACTGCTATAGGACCATTTCTAATACAACAATCTCAAAATAACATGTTAAGCCCTATAGCAGTTCCATCCAACCCTTCACTGAGTCCGGTACTGATCGTCTTGATTATCTGAAAAATAAATGTAAAGGTAAGTACTCTACACTATCAAGCACCCAAATAAGTATAGAGTCTCACCTTACACATAATTCACATTATTTCTAATACACCTCACACAATATAATCACATGCAACATTATCACGCATTTCATTTCCATTCATAACCGATGCACTCATGACACCAAAACATTTATACATGCACGCGTTGACTGCACGCAGCCACGCTCACTGTGGCACTGTGATCACATATTCTCACTATAGATTGTCGCCGGTTACTCCTGCTTCACGGATACCATGTGGGCAGTCACGGGTCGCTCAACAAAGGTAGTGGTGAGAGGTCTAGTCAAGAAGAGAGTGTGTGGGCCGTGGTGCATCCGCTCTCACAGTCGGTATTACCAACACTCTCTCTTTTCCAAGGTATTTCTACCGTTCTCATCTTTCACACCCCCAGTATATCGCTGAACCATTCACAACATGTTACACCGGCATTAATCACACCTCATTCACACACATTGCAATATCAATTCTCAATACATGGCATAATGCCCACAGTCATGCGTAATACATGGCACTAGGCCCTCATTCGTTTGACAGTACATGGCACAAAGCCTACACATATTCATATTACACAACCCTTGGGCCTACACTTATTTGTAATAATCGTTCTCAATACACGGCACAAGTGCCTACACGCATTTACAACATAATTCATTTCAACCATACACAATATTTTCAACATAGTTCACATTTACATTCCTCATTCATTAAGTATTAGCATACTTACACCACACAATCACACATAACGGATTTCCACATGCTATCACACCTCACAACACAGCCAATTCCATCAAATACATCCAATTCCATCAAATACATATTTTTTACCGTCTATCTCAACCACATTGCAATATTCATCAAAATAAACGACAATCAAACCCAAAGAGAAAGGGTAGAGTTCTTCCTTACCATAGATTGAAGACTCACACTTGAATTCAACCACGGAAATGCTCCCTACACGAATTCCGTCCTAAATACACGGAAGAATTCCATGGGAACCTAGGAAAATCACGAAAACAGAGAAAGGAATGAAAAATTAAAACTTAACCATTAAAACTCACCTCCAAGCGTTTCCAACACGAATTCAACCTTCAATCAAGTTCCTGAACGGCTTTGGAGGCAACTTAATCGGTAGAATAGGGTTTTGGGTCAAGAGAATCGAAGAAATTTCGAAGGGAAAGTGAGAAATAATCTTTTTCGAACCCTAACCCCTTTTAAATCCTCTTTGTTGAAAGATATTCTCACTGCATCGACTCCTTCCCTTGCTATAATGAAAACTTAGACAAAACTGCAATCTGGTTTTTGCATAATCTCGCTACAGCGAGACTGCACCTAGAAATGCAACCTAAACTGTGACTTTGTTGCTACAGCGAGAGACCTCTCGCTACAACGAAAATCCTTTAGCTGCTGCGAGAATGCCCTGCAGCAGCATCCATACTTAGCTTGTTTTCAGCCTAATCAACCAATCCAATTATATATATATATATATATATATATATATACATAGACACACACACACACACACACACATACATATTATACCCACAAACATTATCATTACGCATTTAAATGCAAATTACGTCTTTCACATTTACATGTACATATAAACACATACATTATCAACAATAATTAAGCGTTACAACTTTAGAATTGTTGTACATGTTGATGATGTGCCTAGAAATATCATTATGATAGAGATGGAACTATATTATAGTATCCCTTTTGATTTTTCTGTAAGTAGAATACATCATACCCTCTGTGTATATATATATTCTCTGGTACCGTGAGAACTCCAGCAGTCGTGACTTACTTGTTTACATATCACGACCACAACCATCTGAGAAGACCATTCAGATGGACTTTTAAGCGAATTACTGGTACGTAGGTTATTGAGGATTCAGGTAATCAATATCTCGAGTCAGATGAGGATCTTGATTCTGACGACATTGCAGAAATAGAGGAATGGCATAAGGACGACTAGTATCTTTATCAGTCTTTTTGGTTGATAGACTACTTATTAGGACTTGTTATATTTTGTAAATATTGTAAATGAGTCCTAATGTATTTTGATGTATATTTTGTAAATGTCAACATTTTGCACATTATAAGAACAATGTATATTAATGTCATTTTAATGTTTCCTCTTAAAATTGGTTTAATTCTTATTATTTTGTTATTTAAGTTTTTATAAGTTTGAGCAAAATAAATGGAATATTTTATAATTTCACTTGTTATATTCAGTTGGTAAATGAATTTAACTAAAATTTTCCTTCTTAATTCATAAATTATTTTCTTATTATTTTGAATAAAATAAGGATGTTACACCTAATGTTATTAATCAAGCCAATTAGAGGGTGATCAGGACGTTGAACATGCAAAATTAGAGACAAGACCTCTTTGGAATCACTCTTCACCAATATAGATTGAATATCTTTCAAAGAACCTAATTGAAGACCCAAAAATAATTCTCAAAGCTTAGCAACAAGAGGGATACATCTATTTAATTTGCTGTAGAAACCAGATATGAATGTGCCACTACTGTCACGAATTACCTCTCCACAAGCAACGCTATCAGAATGTAAGAAAACAGCCCCATCCACATTGAGATTCAACTGGCCAGCAAGGGGAGGAATCCATTTAACACGCACTTGGTCCTTAGCAACTCTAGGTAGAGGCTTGATAACTCCCCTATGACAATTCAACCAAAAATCAAAATCACACAATATTATAAATGATCTGTGTAACACTTTAATTTAATTACCAAATAATAATTTCGATAAATAGAAGTAATAAAATTTTTATTTAAATAGAAAGATCTCATCATAGAGTTTTATAAAACTGTTCAAAACAATAAATGATTATATATTTATATCAAAGACTGCTACAGGACTAATTCAATTACATTATAATTTCAAAAATACAATCTAAGTCCTATAGCAGTTCATCATTCCTTCATTGAGTCCAGTGTTGATTGTCTTGGTTACCTGAAAAATAAATGTAAGGGTGAGTACTCTACACTATCCAACACACATAAACATAGAGACTCATCTCAAATACTACACATTTACTAACATATTTTAAATCACGCATTCACAATACAAGCATCTCAATTTCAACCACAATCATCATTCATCATATGTTCCAATTCAAAGCACAACCGGTGCACTCACTCCACCAACATTTCACGCACGTGTGCTTACTGCACCTAGCCACGTTCACTGTGATCACAGTTTCACACCATGAATAGTCGTCGGTTACCCCTGCCTCACAGATATCACATGGGCAGTCACAAGTTGCTCAGCAAAAGTAATGGTCAAAGGTCTAGTCAGGAAGAGAGTGTGTGGTCTGTGGTGCACCCACGCTCACTGTTGGTGTCACCACCACTCTCTCTTCCCCAAGGTATTTCTACTGTCCTCATCTTCCACACCTCTAGTGTATCACTGCACCATTCATAGCATTATTACAACAACATTTACACGCCCTATTCACACACATTCCAATTTCACACAATATCCATATTCAATCATCAATTCTCCATAAAAATTCACTCAAAAATCAACTCTCAAATCATCACAATCATACCCACCACACATTATTTATCTCAATACATCAGTTCACACATCCTATCTCAATCACATTACAAAACATAGTAAATAAACGGGTTTTAAAGCAAAATGAGATAGGGTAGAGTCTCTTCTTACCTCAAATAGAGACCCACAGACCAATTCAACAAGGTAAGCACTCCCCCACACGAACTTGACTTAAATACATGGAAGAACCTCATGAAAACCCAAGAAAATCGAGAAATCAGAGGATAGGGATAAGAAACTGAAACCCTAACCATTAAAACTCACCTCCAAGCATTCCCTACACAAATTCAACCTTTA